TTTTCATTCATTTTGTAACTTCAAACAAATACCATACATAAGTATAAAGCATCATATGGATAAGACCACTAGAGTTATGCTGTGTTTGGTCCAAATAAGGTGAGGTAAATCATGGGGGAGATAAGCCAACCTATCCTGGAGGAGGTAACATTTAAGCTAGGTTTTGAATAATTGGCAGGATTTCAACAGTTAGAGGGTTGAAGGCTGGATGTTATTGGAAAAGAAAATGGCCAGAGTAAAAGGCATAAATCATAGGATAATAGGAACATAGATCTGTAGCTGAAGGGGACCTTAGAAATCATTTAGTTTTCCACTTTCATTTTACAGGTAGGGAAACTGAGGCTTAGGTTACATAGGAAGTAAGTAGCAGAACTAGGATTTGAATCCAGTCAAGTCCTCTGTAAGAAAACACTAGTCATTTGACTACTCTAGTTTGGTTAGAGTATAAGGTATGCTAAAAGGAATGATGAGAGTTAAAGCCAACAACATAGGTTATTATCAGTGTCTTCATCTTCTCATAGTAGCAGAAGATACATAAGTTCCACCTTTCATCCTAGTGTCTTGTTAGCATAATAATATCTACATGCCATTGGGCTCTGGCTTATTTTTGCCTGGTGACAGTTTTCACGGAAGAGACAGGAGCTGTGCATATAACAACTTTGCTCATCAATAATAGCCATCTTTTAGCATTTTACTGTAGCATAGACCAATTAACTAGCATAGTTTTAACATAGTTAATATAGTTTGCTGTTTCAAGGGTAATTGGCACAGGTGTGCTTAAAAAACAGTTTCTTGGTGCTTTTAGAGAAAAAGCTTCAGATAATTCAAAATTGTAGGTAGTCATTAAAATATTTGGTTTCAGATGACAGTGAGTCAGTCTGTCTTTCTTACTTCTCTTATTCATCTGACTGACTTCCTCCTGGCTGATCAGGAACTTTTTGTGATATATTTATATGCTTATGTTTAGTAAAGAATTAATTGTATAGGGCTTATATTTAAGCGTGAATTTGTCATTTAATATTAGCATAAGCATCTTTTTTAAATTTTTAAAACATTTTTAATTAAAGTTTTGACTTTCAAATTCTATCACTCCCTCTCCTTCCTGAGAAGGTAAGCAATCACATATAGGTTATACATATGTAATTATGTAAAATATTTACATATTAGTCATTTTGTACAAGAAGACACTAAAAAAATAAAAGAAAGTGAAAAATAGCATGCTTCAGTCTGTATTCTATCAATATTAGTTCTTTCTGTGATGGCAGATAGTATCCTTCATCATTAACCCTTTGGGATTGCCTTGGAACATTGTATTGCTGAGAATAGCTAAGGCATTTACAATTCTTCATTGAACAGTGTTGCTGTTACTGTGTGCAGTGTTCTCCTGGTTCTATTCACTTCACTATGCATTAATTCATGTAAGTCTTTCCAGGTTTTTCTGAAATCCTGCTTGTCATTTACAATCATACACCACAGCTTGTTTAGCCATTCCCCAATTGATTGGCATTTCCAGTTCTTAGCCACCACAAAAAAAGCTGCTGTACATATAGATCCTTCTCTCTCTTCTTCTTCTTCTTCTTCCTTCCTTCCTTCTTCTTCCTTCTTTCTTCTTCTTTCTTCTTCCTTCTTTCTTCTTTATCTAGCAGTGCTATTAACATATGCATCTTAGGGGGCATTAGGTGGTGCAGTGGATAGGCATTGACCCTGGACAAGTTACTTAACCCCAATTGCAAAAAAAAAAAAGCATATGCATCTTAAAAGTAATGAAGAAAATTCAGGGATTAACTTTTTTTTTGTTAATAGAACTTTAGTACTGTAAAACTATTCTAAAAGCATTGCATCATACATATGCAAAAGGCACAAAATACTAAGGTTCTCAAAGGGAATAAAATCACTTTCTTCCAAAAGAACAGATGTGCGCGCGCACACACACACACACACACACACACAACACACACACACACACACACACACACACGTTCTGCTCTGACACTGTTGGCTCTGTAGTTGCCCTTGTCTACCAACTTGAGCTACGCCCTCATCTTCCATTACTACAGGTATGTAGGGAGCCTGGTTACTGTAATGTCTGTGGGCTGAAATGAAAGATTAAGACCACCCAGTGGTGCTTTTTCTTGGGCAGTCATTCAAGCAGTGCATGGCCCTTAATCCAAGTGATTAATTTCTTAAAAAGAAGCACAGTTTGAAAGCATATGAAATTGGAAGAACGAGCCTTGTGTAAAGCAATGATTTTCAAAGTGCTGTAGATGCTAATATAGAGAATTCAAGTATTCTACCTTTTGCATCTGGGAGGAAGCTACAAACTATTTGTGCTCCTGGATTTGTGAGAGAGAAAGGCTCTCTTGGTTCCCCTGATAACTAGGTTTGGAGGTTATTGTTTGTTTTTGAAGAGGACCAGTGATTTCACAGGTGATGACTTGAGTGTGAATTGGATTTAAATAAAGCAGAGTTGCACAAAGTTGTCAGCCTCTTTCTGTCTTCCTGTGTCATCAAAGTCCAGTTGCAGGACAGAAGTTAAAATGACTGGTGGTAGCCTAGGATACAGTGGATGACCTTGTTGTCTTCAATGCCTGACCAGGTTCTAAAAGGTCCACAGCACTTACTTCAGCAGCCTTCATGGCTGTTAGGACAGATTGTTCTCATCTGTTTATTCCCCCAGGAAAAGGCTTCACATGCTTTAGGTAGACATCCCCCTAACTGACAGGTTTGAGGCCTTTTGGTTACCTTCAGCCTGGTTTAGCCTGTCTGCTGAGATGGTTTACTGGCCTTGTGGCTGCTGCACATGCTGATACTTCTTGTAGTCACAGGTGAGAGTTGGGTGAAGGTAGATACCGAAGGTGGATGGGCAGCCCTGAAAAGGGCTTGGCACTAACACCAGAGGTGCTAGTCCTCCAACTTTGAAAGGGAGTTTGCTAGCAGCTAATTGTTGTTCTAGATTATTGTTACACGACTCCTTTGCAATCCTTATTGGGTTTTTCAGCTCAAGCCTGTTAAGTTTGTGTTTTGAGAAATTAGGTGCTGGGAAACCAGGAGGGAAAAAAAGATTGATGGATATTTAGTTTAAAATTTGGAATCAATGGAGTACGTTTTTGAAATGGAACTTACGTGTCATTAATAGAATCAATGAATTTTAAAGTGGAGGGAACTGTAGAAGTCAGTTAGTTTATCCAGTCCCTTATTTTACCCTCTTTTGTATTGATTTCTGTGACAGTCATGTCCTTGGTTCTCTTCCCATTAGATTATTTTCTCAGTCTTCTTTCATGGTGGTTCTTCCTTCTCCCAAGCACATAGGAAGTAGTGTACCTAAGGACTCTGTTCTATGGCCTCCTTACTTTTCTCTCTGCATTCTCTTCCTTGATGATTCTACTTGTTTCCATGGATTCAGTTCTGCAAATAGTTCCTGAATCTCTTTGTGTAGTCCTGATCTCTTTCCTGCTTGTCAGCCCCGTATCTCCAAAAGCCTCTTGGCTGTCTTGAGCTAACTCTTTAATCAATACCTCAAGTTTGAATTTGTGATCTTTTCTAAACCTGTGCTTGCCCCAGATTTCCCTGTTTCTGCTGATGGCAATATCCTCCCTGTCACTGAGATTCATAACCTTAATGTCCTTATTCTTGATTTCTCTGTTACTTCCCTCTCCTGCCCCCCCCAACTCTTAGTTAATACTTTCTTCTTAAATTACCTTATCAAAGTTAACATGGATCATAGATCTAGAGCTGGAAGCAGCCTCAGAATCCATCTGTTCCAACCCCTTCATTTTACAGATAAGGAAACTGAGTCTCAGGAAAGTCAAGTGACTTGTTCAAGATCACTCAGGTAGTAAGTGGCAGAGGTGGGAATTGAAGCCAGGCCTTGGCTTTAAAACCAGACTGTTGCCTTGCTGTGCTGCTTTTTATACATTCTTCATCTCTCACCACCCCCCACCTCCACCCCAAGAATGTAAGCTCCTTAAAGCCAGGTTCTTGTTTTTGTTCTTTGTATGTCTCTAGTCTCCTTATACACAGTAGAGGCTTATTAATACATATTTTTCAAATTTAATGAAAATTGACACCAGAGAAATTCAATGACTTTCTTGCCCAGAGCTACAGATAATCAAGTAATAGAGATGGGTTTAGACACAGGTAGTTTTATTTCCAAATTTAGTGTTCTTCTCCTATTTCATATTTAATAAGTAACTATTGAGCACTTGCTCTGTAGGAGGTACTGGAATATATTGGGGCATAGAAATGAAGTCCAGGTATGGGCCTTGCCCTAAAAGGCTTCCAGGAGAGTTAGGGAGAAAAAAAGTGAAGCAATTAGTGGCCATTATAAGACAGGACAAGGAAAAGGGTTAAATTATGAAAGTGCTAAATTAGGTGATGAAAGTGGGTGTCAAACATATGAGTTCATTGGGTGTTCTTTGAATTGGGAGTGCTTTGTTTTTAAATCTCAAGTGTAGCCCATATTTAAATTTGTTAGATTTTTTTACTTTGTTAAAATGCTTTTTATTATGGTTCTTTTTTTGAAGTATGATTCCCCACCCCCCACCCCCTTTCACATTCAATTGTTGAGCTTCCAAAATGGAATGCTTTGAGCAACTGAGACTTGTATTTAAAAAAACAAAAACAAAACCTAAGGTGAAAATAAATATTAGGAGAATAATTTTTTTTTTCCAATTGAAGTCTTTTAGCAGGTTACACAGATTGTTTCTGTTAGAATTAGTCAATATTATTAAGACAGAGAAAATCCTTTGTAATGTATTATTAGCACATTTTGAACACCTTTATCAGACTTGGTCAATATTCTCTATCCTCAGGACATAAGTCAAGTTATTCAAGGAAGTATTTCTTTTTACAATGGTATACTTCACACATTTTGTTTATGCTAGTTTGTGGCTACATGTTTAATATTTTAACGAGTGTTTATTGATGCTTCATTTCTATTTTGACATAACTGAATATAAAATGATCCCACATTTTATTTTTTATCTTTTAATTTCAAACAGGTTAAATGTAATTTTTACAAAATTTGATGATGTCCAAAGATCTGGTAACATGATACAGTCTGCAAGTGGTGAGTAGAAAAGATATCGTGATGACCATTAAGTCATTATTTGTATGATGGCATTATATTTGCTATATCTGTAATAGGTCATATTTTAGCTGATTAAGGAGATCCAGAACTTAAGTCCTTGGAGTTACCACTTGTGAAAAGCAATCACATGCTAACTCTCAACCTTCTTTTTTTGTGTAGTGACTATTTGAACAGATAATGTTGTTTGTTACTAGTAAACAGTGAACATAGCATGTCATTGTGATAGCATTTATATGAGTAATTTCATGTCCTTTTCATTAATAATTAAAAATTAAATTAGTTGAAGACTTAACCTGTTTGTGATACTGTATATACTATCTTACCAGGAGAAAGGAGTTGTTGAAAATGTAATAGAACAAGCCTGCCCTTGGGAGGATAGTGGTAGCAAAAAGCCTTTTAAATCGTGAGGAATGCAGGAATCTGGACTTGAGTCATTGTAGACAATTATTAGAACCAAACTCCTGGGTAAATAAGCCTAAAAGTGGCTGAATGAATCAGTCATTAAGCATTTATTAAGTGCTTACTTTCTGCCAAGCATTGTGGTGAGTACTGAGGATACAAAGAAAGTCAGAGGACAGTCCCTCTTATCAAGGAGGCCACAGTCTAATGGCAAAGACAACCTGCAAACAGCTGTGTGCAAACAAGCTGTAAACAGGATAAATTGAAAATCATCACAAAGTGAGGGCACTAACTTAAGTGGGTTAGAGAAAGGTTCTTGTAAATGAGTAGCATGTTCAAGTCAGAGCAGAATGATAATGCCTCACACTTAATTGACACAAAGTAGGTATTAACAAAAGCCTTCTTAGCCTCATTTTGCAGATGGAGAAAATGAAGTTTACAGAGATTACATGACTTGCTTGAAGTCAGACACAGCTCGGAAGTGGTGAAGTTGATTTTTGAACCCTGATTTGCTGAGGCTGGGCCCAGTTCTTTTGCTGTTGTACCAGAATACTGGTTGTAGATCTGATGCACTGTCAAGGGCCTCTAGAAACTGAAGCAGACAGAGTTGAAGTGACTTGCCCAGGGTGATACAACTAGTAAGTTTCTGAAGTCATTTTCAAACTCAGGCCTTCCTGACTCCAAGCCCAGCACTCTGTCCACTGTGACACTTGGCTATCTGACTGATGTAGTGGGAAATAACTGGTGACCCCAAATAATCTGATGTTCCAATATATTGTTGGACTTAATGGTGCAAATTGCTTTTACATAGGTTGAATGTAAAATTACTACCTTCTTCATGAAGATAACAAGAAGCCTACAAATTCTAACAAAAAATTAGTTACAGAAATGGAGATAGACTGTTTGACAAGTTAGGTTGACTTAGGATATGACTAATTTAACATGAAGGGTTGAAGTCAAATGTGTTAGATTTCATCTTAGAACACTCAAGGAATTCAATTTCATTCAATAAGCATTTATTGAATGCCCATTTTGTGTTACTAATAGCTATTGGCAATGATATTTGCAGATTAGTAAGGAAACTCATGATTTCATAGAAGTCAAAATTGAATCACTTGGTCACTGTGCACTCTATGACCTTGGTCAAGCAGACGAGGGCCCTTTCCATTTCATCTTCTCCAGCACTTTGACCATAATACCAAAATTGACTTTTATTTGCTTTTTTTTTTTTTTTTAATATATAGCACTATGTTGTCATGTATTATTTACCTGTAGAGACCGTTATTACATATGTTTGAAAAAGGTGAAGAAATTCAGGCTCTGATAGTGATTGTTAAGAGCTTGACCCTGGAATCCAGACCCCTTGATTCCTCTTCTGATGGTCTCTCTGCTATAGAGTTTATGTATTTTCATGTCTCTGCTTGTGCATATACTCATTGTTGGTGTATCAGAGGCAGCCACTATCTTTCACACCTCTGTATAGAATTTCCTTGTTTGGTGCTTCTTGGAACCTGTCATTACTAGGGAAGGAGGTACTGAGCAGGACAGTAAAAATTTTCACAAAAAAAGTTTTGACTTTTTAAATTTGAATTGTTGTTATTCAATGGATGTTCATTTTAATGCTGGTGTTAGGGGAGGACAAGGCACATGATATCAGCTTTATATTTCTTGGACTTGATCTACCCCCTCCACCACCACCACCCCCTCAGCATGTTATTTGTGGAGAACATAATTCAAACTGACCGATAGCCAGATCTTTGATACAGCAAGTGCCATAAAAAAGCACTTTATTCTATATTCCTAGCTTATAAGAGAGATAATAATAGTAATAGGAAGAGAAGGAAAAGGGAGAGAAGGGGGAGGAGAAGAATTTATCTAGTACTTCAAGTGTTGTAGAACATGTTTTATATTTTCTTACTTGCTTCTCAGCAGTCAGGATCAATCAAGCAGGATTTAAATCCAAAGCTTCCTAGCTTCTTATCTAGTACTCTACTCATTATTCCATGCTGCTTTACAAGTGACCAAGCAGGCCCTGCATTAGAATTGGAAGTATTTGGGGAAGTAAACGGGGGAGGGATCATGAAAAGAGAACAGTGTCATTTATTTTTATAAATGCTAAAGGTTATTGGGGGAGTAGGTGGAAGGTGGGAGAGCTACTGATATTTTCTTGAAGACCTAGAATTTGATCAGATGGCAGTGCTTCAAATATGTGTCCATATATCATTCTATCTCTTTTGGTTTTAAAATATTGAACTAATGTTTAAAAAGGTTGAGTGAAGAAAGAACTGGAGATTAGGTTTCCGGCACCCAAAATATATACTTACAAAGATTTCAGAACCATTAACTTTAAAATCAGTTTGAAACCACTTAGGGATTATGATCTTTAGTATTAGTCAATACCTGTTTGACAAAAAGTAAACAATGCCAAACATACCCCATTTCCTTTTCTGATAAAATAATTGACCTTGAGTATAAGGTGGAGGGGGGAAACTCATTTGTAGCAGTCATGCAAGAGCTATCATAATACCCATTTGGTAATGTTGTCCTCTGCTTGGGAATATGTTAGAAGATTTGCACATCTGCCCTCAGTACTCAACACTTAAGGCAGTAGGTGATGGGAATTTGGGGGGAGGGGTGCAAAGGAGTAACTGACAGTGAAATAAAGAAAATCGAGAGACAGAAAGAGAAGATATTTAGGTGGGGGAAAGATGGAGCTGAGCAAGTGTGATAGTAGTGAAATACATATAAGATTGTTTTGGGGATATAAGGACCAGGATGATTTTGCCCCCTTGTCACAATTATTATCTTTCCTCATTGGTCACTGGGCTTAAATGAATTTTGAAGTTAACGAAAATCAGAATAAGAACTCAAATTTATATAGTTCTTGAAAGTCTACAAAGTGCATCATATGCAACCATCTGAAAATTATGTAGTATAATTTTATCATCATTTTACAGATGAGGAAATGGGCTGAAGGAGGCTTAAGTGAATGGCTATGATCACTGTTAGTCTAGCAAGCATTTATTAAGCACTTACTTGGTGCCTGACACTCTGCTATACGGGGATGCAAACACAAAACCAACAAGGAGTTTATATCTTGTTGGAGGAGAAATGATTATTAAGTGGTAGAACCATTCAGGAATTCAGCCTAGATCTTCTCGGTGCTTTTTCCATTTCATGTTCACCACTCCATGGTGAACATAGCAAGTTGTTGAAATCCTTCATCCTCACTTATCCCTCTCTTATGCAGGATTACCCTTTGCAGCAGAAGTGCTCTCTGGGGTGAAAGTACAGCTTGCTAGCTTGCTTTGCAGTAAATCTATATTTATATTAGCTGTGTTTGTTTTCTTTCCCCTTTAAGTAACTGGATTATGGAAATTGGAAACCAGGAATTAGAACTGAGCAGAACTTGGCAGTGAAAGAGAATGGAAGCAACTGTAGGGTAGAAGGTGATTTGTTTTCTTTTCTTTTTTTTTTTTCCCCCCTAAGAAGACGAAAAGGTGAGAGAATAGAGTAGAGACTGGGGAGGGTGGGTTTTTTTGAGAATATGGAAAATGGCAGCCTGGATTTGAAGTCAAGGATCTGGGTGGAATTTTGGCTCTGATAATTTTATGATCTGTGTGATTTGGTGCAAATTGCTTAGCCTCTCTGGGCCTTAGTGAGAAATGAAATATTGACGCATGATTGTGTTGAGTACTGTTTGTGATTCCTTTCTTGTGTTCTGTTATCATAGGTGTATTCTGTAAGCTCCCTTACAGCTCTAAACTTTTTTTTCTTTATCCTAAGTTAATTTCTCTTTTAGGAGGATGAGCTCTATGCACTCTCCCTAATTGAAGACTTTTTTATAAATAGGCTAGTCCAGGAGACCAGGACTTGAAAATTATAGATGCCATGTTGTTAGTAATTACTAGATATCCAGCTCTAGCTTCTTGCTTAGAAAACTTCCTGAGGCTACTTACTTCCAGTGCTTAAAAAAAATAAAATGCAGTGACCTCAGAGATTGCTTTGTACATAAATAGTGCAGCAAAACCTGATGAATGGCCTTTTGAGAGATTGCATATGATCTGTTCATAAAATATCTGTGGAACTTAAATATTCTTTATCTCCTCTTGTTTCCTCTCATTGCTATCAGTTCATGCAGATCTCCTGTGTTAGTGTGTGGGACAGGGTTAAGGCTGGGATGCCAGCTTGCATGGGTAACATGGGAAACATTTTTAGATTATCCTTCTGTTCCTTTCTCCTGGGAGCCTAGGTTTTTTCCCCCATCCATTCAACAAGTATTTATTTGCAGTAGTCCAGGTTCAAAATCTCCAAATCATTTTTGGCTCTTCCCTCTTCCCTGCCTTCCATACCTGACAAGTTGCCAAGGGGTGTTGAAGAAGTTACCTTGACAGCGTGGAAAGAGCCCAGGATTTGAAGCCAGAGGATCTAGGTGCATTCTGCTTTGATACTTTCTGATCTGTATGACTTTGGGCAAGCAGTTTAGCCTCTCTGGGCCTTAGCTGCCTTATCTTTAAAATAAAGGGAGTTGAATGAGATGACCTCTGAGGTCTAGTCTTTCTCTAACACCATGAATTTTT